AGCACACAACCCCATTTTGAGTCTCCAAACCCTGAAGGTGATGCACTCCTGCGCCACTCCTCCCAGGGAAAGAGGGGGATGTCGCCGGTTCCACACTTGTTGGTCCCCAGCTCATAGATCAGTGGCCCATCTATGCCATGGTTCACAGTTTATTACAACCCGGAGCTGAGAGACCATTCCTGGACTCACTCTTTGAAGGTTCTCCACTCCGTTGCCTGGGAGCTCTGACACACTCAAGCACCCCTGATCTTCCTGAACCCCAAGGATCCTGAGACCACACTGTCCCAGCTAGGGTTCCACCCCCTGCTTAGCAGCCTGAGCCATGTCCCTCACCAGAGCAGACTTCTAAAAGTTCTGATTTTGTGCTCTGCTGCTTTATCACTTGCCAGTAGCCGGCTGACAGAGGCTCCCTTCTCCTGCGGTCTATCTTCCCATATACTGCTTCCAATTCACTTCACTACACTTCCTGTCTTGCAGACAGTGGTCACTTTTCTATTCATTGAGTTGCACAGTTATTCTTTTCTTAGATGTCTGGTTGAGTTTGGTCAGAATAATTTGATTGCTATCTAGCTGAATTCCTGGGACCAAACAAAATTAAGTTCTCCTACTCCTCCACCATCTTGGACTCTCCTTCTCAAATGCTTTTCCTACATCAGTTGAGAAGATCATAAGATTCTTGTCCTTTCTTTTATTAATGCAGAGTATCCCATTCATTGATTTGTGAATATTGAACCAACCTTGCAGCCCAGGAATAAATCCCACTTGATCGTGATGAATAATCCTTTTAATGTACTGTTGGATCCTGTTGGCTAGTATTTTGGTGAGAATTTTGGCATCCATGTTCATCATGGATATTGGTCTGTAATTCTCCTTTTTGGTGAGGTCTTTGTCTGGTTTTTCAGATAAAGATAATGCTGGCCTCATAGAATATGTTTGGAAGTTTTCCTTCCATTTCATTTTTTTTTAAACAGTTTCAGAAGACTAGGTATTAATTCTTCTTTAAATGTTTCATAGAAATCCCCTGGGAAGCCATCTGGCCATGGGCACTTGTTTTTTGGGAGATTTTCGATTACTGCTTCACTTTCCTTGCTGGTTATGGGTCTGTTCTGGTTTTCTATTTCTTCCTGGTTCAGTTTTGATAGTTTATATGTCTCTAGGAATGCATCCGTTTCTTCCAGATTGCCTAACTCATTGGCATATAGTTGCTTATAATATGTTCTTGTAATTGTTTGTATTTCTTTGGTGTTGTTTGTGATCTCTCCTCTTTCATTCATGTTTTTATTTATTTAGGTCCTTTCTTTTTTCCTTTTGATTAGTCTGGCCAGGGGTTTATCAATTATATTTATTCTTTCAAAGAACCAGCTCCTAATTACATTGATCTCTTCTACTGTTCTTTTGGCTTCTGTTTCATTGATTTCTGCTCTAATCTTTATTAATTCTCTTCTCCTGCTGGGTTTAGGCTTTATTTGTTTCTCTAGCTCCTTAAGGTGTAGGGTTAGGTTGTGTACTTGAGACTTTTCTTGTTTCTTGAGAAAGACTTGTATTGCTATGTACTTCCCTCTTAGGACTGCCTTTGCTGCATCCCAAAGTTTTGAACAGTTGTGTTTTCATTTTCATTTGTTTCCATGAATTTTTTAAATTCTTCTGATTTTACTAGTTGACTCATCCGTTCTTTATTAGGATGCTCTCTGGCCTCCATGTATTTGGGTTCTTTCCCAATTTCCTCTTGTGATTGATTGAGTTCCAGTTTCAAAGCACTGTGGTCTGAAAATATGCAGGGAATGATCCCAAACTTTTGGTATCTGTTGGGACCTGATTTTGTGACCCAGTATGTGACCTGTTCTGGAGAATGTTCCATGTGCACTTGAAAAGAACATGTATTCTGTTGCTTTAGGCTGGAATGTTCTGAATGTATCTGTGAAGTCCATCTGGTCCAGTATGTCATTCAAAGTCCTGTTTCCTTGTTGGTCTTTGGCTTAGATGGTCTGTACATTGCAGTGAGGAGGGTTTTAAGTCCCCTGCTATCATTGTATTATTATCAATGTGCTTCTTTACTTTTGTTATTAATTGGTTTATAAATTGGCTGCTCCCACGTTAGAGGCCTAAGTATCTATAATTGTTAGATCTTCCTGATAGACCCTTTAAGTATGATATAGTGTCCTTCCTCATGTCTTATTACAGTCTTTGGTTTAAAATCTAATTTGTCTGCTATCACGATTGCCACCCTAGCTTTCTTTTGATGTCCATTAGCATGATAAACAGTTTTCCACCCTCTTATTTTCAATCTGGAGGTGTCTTTGGGTCTAAAATATGTCTCTTGCAAATAGCATATCGATGGTCTTGCTTTTTTTATTCAATCTGATGCCCTGTGTCTTTTGATTGGAGCATTTAGGCCATTTACATTCAGAGTAACTATTGAAAGATGTGAATTGAGTGTCACTGTATTACCTGTGAAGTCGCTGTTTCTGTATAATGTCTCTGTTCCTTTATGGTCTATGTTACATTTAGGCTCTCTCTTTGTTCACCGGATCCCTTTTAATATTTCTTGAAGGGCTGGTTTAGTGATCAAATTCTTTTAGTTTCTGTTTGTCCTGGAAGCTCTTTATCTCTCCTTCCATTCTGAATGACAGCCTTGTGGATAAAGTATTCTTGGCTGCATGTTTTTTCTCATTTAGCACCCTGTATATATCATGGCAGTCCTTTCTGACCAGCCATGTCTCTGTGGATAGGTCTGCTGCCATCTAATGTTTCTACCCTAGTAGGTTAAGGAGCTCTCATCTATAGCTGCTTTCAGGATTTTATCTCTGAAATTTGCAAGCTTCACTATTATATGTCAGAGTATTGAATGATTTTTATTGATTGGGGGGTGGTTCTCTGGGCCTCCTGGACTTGAATGCTTGTTTCTTTCCCCAAATTAGGGAAGTTCTCAGCTGTAATTTGTTCAAATAAACCTTCTGTCCCTCTCTCTCTTTTCTCATCTTCTGGGATCCCTATTATTCAAATACTATTGAACTTTATGGTATCAATAATTTCTCAAAGCCTCTCCTCGTGACCTAGTAGTTTTTTCTCTTTTTCTCAGCTTCTTTATTTTCCCTCATTTTGTCTCCTATATCACTGACTCTTTTCTGCTTCATTTACCCTAACAGTTAGAGCCGCCATTTTTTACTGATCTTAGTAATAGCATTTTTAGTTTTGACCTGATTAGATTTTAGTTCTGTTATTTCTACCCTAAGGGATTCTCTAGTGTCTTTTATGCTTTTTTCAACCCAAGCTAGTATCTTTATAATCATTACTCTGAGTTATAGCTCTGACATCTTATTTACATCCGTATCTGTTAAATCCATGGCAGAGAGTATTACCTCTGCTTCTTTCTTCTGTTGTGAATTTCTCCTTCTAGTAATTTTGTCCAGAAAAGAAAAGAGGAAAGAATGAGAAAGAAAAAGAAGGGGGAAAAAAGGAAAAAAAAAAAAAACAGCAATAATCAACAACAACATCTTCAGGAAGTGATTCCGGTGTACACTGTGTACATTCTGCTGTTGTGTTTTGGCTGCCCTTTCCCACTGGTCCTTCCTCTACAGAGTTCCTCCTTGTTTTGGGGGGAGGTACCTTTAAGTAGGGATGCTTTGTTTTTTTGTGTGTTTTTATTTGTGTGTGTGTGTGTGAGGTTAAGCCAGAAGCTGATGTTTTAGAGTTTTCTTTAATTAGTAGACCTGGTATATGCTGGGGTTTGTGTTTGTCTTCTTTGGGAAAGGCCTGCTGTGCTGGTGTACAAGCTGACTTGCCTTTAGAACTAGCTCCTGCCAGGTCTGGGTATGGGGTTTAGTGTAAGGGATTCAAGCCTCTACCAGAGGTGCTGTGTTTATCTCTGGAATCTGTGCTGGTGGACGGGAAGAGGGCGTCATGTGGAGAAGGTAGAATATGGTGTCACCTCATCCTTTGTCCCCAAGGGGGCAGAACCCTCAGCAGCTGTTGCTCAGGAGGCCCTCCCAGAAAAATCCAACAATCTCCTGTGGCCTAGGCCCTCATCAATTTCCTGCCCTAACCTATCTATGTCCAGGTCATTAGCATGCCCAGAGCCACAGATCTACTGTATTTTATCTCGGCCAGTGGTTGGGATTCAAAACTCTAAGTTTTAAAGTGCCTGGTAAGGTGTGCATACCCAATGCTGTCAGCAGGCAGGGAGGATCAGGCTGTGTCCAGCATGATTCCATCCATGAAAAGCCTTCATACAGTACATGTGCAGAGGTTAGAGTTTATCATAACACTGACGGAAAACTGGGGCCAGGCTATCAGCCATCTGCACTACTCCCTACTCCCTTTTTCCTAGAAAAGCCACCACAGAGGCTTGGATCTATTGTGGCAGACAGTAAAGCAAATGCCCTCTGGAAAGGGGAGCAATTTTTCCCTGAGCAACCCAGGGATCCACTCAACAGCTACTTATGGGGTCACAAACTGCTGCAATCCTTCTGACTTCCTCTCTCTTCCTGACTTTGTTCTGCAAACCAGGCTTACACCACTTCCCCACTCCACGGCTTCCCAATCCCCAGTTCATAGCTGTGTACCACACTTATGCCAAATTCCCTCACTCCATACTCCTCCCATCCTGTTCCTAGTTTTTCAAAAACTTCAAGGCTAGTCTAGTTGTATTCAAAACAAAACAAGTTCAGGGTCTGCTTAGTACTCTGTCATCTTGGAACCAGTCTCCACTAGGTTCAAATTTTAAGCCAACCAAGGCAAATTCGTAACTGATCTCTAAACCTTTTGCCCAAAAAATCCATAGCTGCGAAGTCTCTGGCTGGCAGACGTGGAACTCTAACCCTATTAGATGTTATGCTTGAGAGAAGACAGATCAAATTTGTTCTTTTCCAAATGTGGGTTTTTACTTTGAGCCCTTCACATGGAGCACAGAATCGCCTCTGGCTTCTGGAGCCCCGAGGAGCCCTTCACTGCTGCTCTTCTGGGGCTGACTCAGGGGTTTGTCTTTTGTGACTCATCACCACTGTTTACAATGATTGTTTATTTAGGGCCCTTAATAGAAGGGACATGACAAAGAAAAGGCAGCATTCCGGGTGGAACCCACTACCTGCCTGCCTGGCTTTTCTGTACACAGGTGAGGTACTCCTTCACATCATCTGGGGACCCCAGAATGAGGGGGACTCGCTGGTGGATGGACTCCGGCTTCACGTCCAGCACAGGCTGGGTGCCTGTGGTCGCCAAGCCTCCAGCCTGCTCTATGATAAAGGCCACGGGATTGCACTCATACAGGAGCCGGAGCTGTGGGAAAAAGAGAGTCAGGTGGACAAGTTCTGCAAGTGGCCCCAAAATCCCAAAGCCACACCCCTAAAGCTCGATGGGGAATTCCAGCAGCTGAACTTCTGTCTTGTTAGCATGACTACGCCAGGTTCATGGCCATGTCTTTGGGGCACTGCTGGTCAGTCTTTACCTGTCTTGTGACCTTTGTGCTTATGAGAGGCTTGCCTCCTCCCTTGGGAAATGAGACCTAGATCCTTGCTTGCTGTTGGTTCAACAGGGGGCCAAACTGATGCTGAGCGCTGGACAGGAGCCTGCATTTGTGAGGCCTTATGGCAAGGGAGCCATCCAGCTTGGGTGAAATGGAAGGTCACCTAGAGAGTGCTAGGTGGTCTCTCAGGATAACTTCAGTGTTCGGGATCATGGGGAAGAACCCCACATCATCGACCTGACTAGGTAGTTTGCTGGGGTTTAAATGGCCTTTTCTCTTGGCCCCCAAGACAGAATTAACATCCCCTGCTTGCACTCCCACAGTATCCTGAACATTCCTCTTCCTATATTTGTCACACAGAGGTGTGTTTCATATCTGCCTTCCTCCTTACACACTCGCCCTTGAGGGTAGGGACAGAATCTGTCTGGGTTGGACATTGTGGCATCACCCTTCCCAGTAATGTCTGACCCAAGGGAAGTGTCTAAACAAGGCTACTGTGTCCCTTGCCCAGAGGCTCCCAGTGGAAGGCAGAAATGGGCAGGATGGGGAAGGTAAAGTCAGCTTGTGCCCTGCTTTCCAAGTCATGCCTGTATACCCAGGGCTGAGCTTATCCTGAGCAAGGACTTCTTCTTCTAATAAGCACTACAGGAACCAACATATGTCTGCCCTATGTCCTAATGAGTGCTTGGGGAATTGAATAGAAATGGGCTGGACCCAATGCCTTTTTTAGGCTTATTTCTGTGATTGTGTTGTGATGCACTCCTCACCAACCCACCCCCTACAAAAAAACACACACACATCCCATTAGATTCAGGGTGACAGGCTAGCTGCATGTTCTAGCCCAGTATCATACTATCTTTTCCTTCCTTCCCGATAGGTGCAAAAACCTGTATTTAAAAGATAACAAGTTCCTTCCTGTAATCAGCTTACAGAGTGGTTGTACCAGCTTTCTATAGCCTTTTCTTTCCCATTCTTTTCTTCAAACCCTTTCTGAAGATCATCTGAAACTCTTTGAGAAGCAGTCATAGCTTGTGCTGATTTTTGAATCGTTGTTATTTCATGGTGAGAAGCAAAATATCTCTGGTCTAGGTTAGAGAGACAGGTATTCAGGAGAGAGTAAGTTAAGATTCTGAGGGTATTTACTGGCGCTTTGGTATAACAGTATACACTGCCCTCCACCCTAGACCTCCAGGGTCCAAAGAAGCCTCAGTGGGTGTGGACACGCTTGGATCCATTAGTTTGGTCCCTGTTCACCCAGAGCAGGGACACTGGTGGCCAGCTGGTCCTGCACAGCTACCTTTCAGCTTCTAGAGTTTGGTTCTTTCTTTCCCCCTTTCCTTGCTCTGGGTGCTTGAGGATGAGGGATTTGGGATGTCAAAGTCTCAGACTTTGTTAGCCATGTTAGCCATGTTGATTCAGATATTTAAAAGAAAAAGAAAAAAGCACAACATCCTCATATAAAGTTTGTCTTTGAGCCAAGGCTGCCCTTCACCTGAAGTTGTCCTTATAGTAAATTCATCTTAAAACACAATGTGCAGGTCTTCGTGTTGCTTTGACTTGCAGCCCATGTGATCTACTTTTTTTTTCTGCAGTTAAAATCTAAACAGATACACAGAGAAAAGCACACACAGGAGAAAAGGCGTACGCATCTACCCCACCACCAAAACACACACCAATGCACTCACAGGGACCACCAAAGCTAAAACACAGAGATCAGGAACCAATGGTATTTTCAATAAGGATGGTGATGGTGTCATGAATATAGATCTATACATGGAATTCTATGTCTTAACAGAAATGTCTCGTAATTCCATGTGCATATTTTCTGATCATTGTAAATCATTTTTAATAATTGGTAAGAAATAGACTAATGTTTTCTGTGTTGGAACTGAGTAGTCAGCAAGCATGGTTCTATGCAAGCATTCCGCAGGTTATAATATACCTGAGCTCAACACTCACTTGAAGAGAAATTCCTGACACACTAATCTGCATATTAAAAATCTTCCCACTGGTCTCATGTGCTCTTAGATTTCTTTTTTTTTTTTTTAGTTTTAATTTTTTTTTTTGACAGAGATCACAAGTAGGCAGAGAGGCAGATAGAGAGAGAGAGAGGGAAGCAGGCCCCCTGCCGAGCAGAGACTCAATCCCAGGACCCTGAGACCATGACCTGAGCCAAAGGCAGAGGCTTTAACCCACTGAGCCACCCAGGCGCCCAGATTTCTTATCATGGCTTTGAATCTGGGATTCAAAAATTCAAATTGCACACCCTGGGAGACAAATACACACACAGCCAGTTGTGGGTATGTCTGAGAATACAGTAGATCTTTGTTTTGATTTGTCTACTTACCTACGATTTCTATGGTTGGCTAAAAAATCAGACACGTTTCCATGGGAGGGTCTATTCAGGATAGATGCATTCGGATCTTAAGATTCGCATCTGATCATACAAGTATTTTGGGGTTTGTGTCATAAAGTTGCAGTAAGATCACCCGGAGGCTACCTTTCCAGAAGTATTAAATAAGTTCTGAGCAGAAGTTCTTACTCTAAAGTTTGGGAGCTCTCTGGAGGATTCATGGGTAGACTTCAGGTCATCTGTGAACCCCTAAAAACGTATGTAATGTCTGCTTATGTGCATTTATGTGCATATGGAAGTGGATCCATAGCTTTCATTAGATTCTTGAAGGGTCTCTCATCCAGAATTAGGCGTTGCTGAAGCTACAAGTCAGGCACAGCACGTAGAAAGCGGCAGATGAACACAGCTGACTCATGGTGAATGACAGGCATGAGACCAGGGAATGCAAAGACCAGTGAAAATGGCCATTAACATCTTCAGCCTCTACCACAGCCTCAAAATCCATTAATGGGAAATACACCTCTTTTTTCTTCCACCTGCACACTCACAAACAGATGTGAAAAGGACAGAGCAGTAGCCAAAAAGCAGGCATGAAGAGAAAGGGAACTCCAACTGGCTTACTGACCAATACAGCCAGGGGACAAACGAGAATTACCTTGCCCTTCGGATTTTTCTGATTCGCGGGGTACAGGAAGATCCCTCCGTAGACCAGGGTGCGGTGCACATCGGCCACCATGGAGCCCACGTACCGGGCCCCATAGGGAGCACTGCCATCCTAGGAGGCGGAGAGAGAGGAGACAAGATGCTCGCCTGGATTAGATACTCCCTTACCCACGTACCCTGCCTTAGGAGGTTTACAGAGCAAAGCAAAGTAACTGTTAAACCTTTCTAAGGAAAGAAGGTGACATCAGCAGCATTTAGGCTTGCATTAGACAAGCAGGAAATAGTCACCTCCCACCAACATGAATTGAATTGCAATAAAAGCAGGCACTACCAGTGATCCCAAACCCTGAATATTAGGTGGAATGCAAAATGTGCCAATTACTCTCCTAGTTAAAAACATGAGTAGGACTGTTCACAAATCACGTTTAAACTCATCCCAATAAGTAATTTTTCAGCATCTTATTTATGCCTGGCACCAGGCCAGGCCCTGAGGATGCCAAAAACAAGAAGATAGTCTCTGCCCCTAAGGAACTCCCAACTGAAGGGAGGGACTAACATACATAAATGAATAAAAATAAATGAATTTACAATTTTATGATAAAAAGAGGAATAACCCAATTTTAAAGATAGACCAAAAACTTAACCTACACCACATGACAAGTTAACTCAAAGTGGTTGGAAGACCAGCACATAAAGAGCTAAGGCTATAAAACTCTTAGAAAATATCAACAGACTTTTTGGGGAAGAAACTTGAAAGAATTGGTATTAAAATTCTCTGACAAAGAAAACAAGAACATTTGTCAAAATGAAGAACAAGGAAAAAATTATCTCTACCAAATCTAAGAGCACACAGTGAACAATATTTACATATGCAAGGAAGAAATGCAAACACTGACCAGTAGCTCAGAATAGAGCCCAGTTATGGGCCTAAAGATAGACAAGAATTTCATTTATGCTGAACAGGACCTTTCAATCAGTGTGGGAGAGGACTACTGGGGAACAAACAGCACTGTGCTAACTCCTTAGAGAAGAGGTGTGTAAGCTCCCTACCTCATTTTTTACAGCCAAATTATTTCAAGATAAGGAGAGACTTAAAAGGAGAAAATAACAAATAATTTAGAACAAGGCTGTCCAGTGAAATTCTTTGTGGTGATGAAAACACTTTTTTTTTAAAGCTTTTATTTATTCATTTGAGAGAGAAAGAGAGACAGAGATATCAACAGAGCATAAGCAGGGAGGAAAAGGAGAAGCAGGCTCCTGGCTGAGCAGGGAACCAGATGTGGGACTTGATCCCAGGACTCTGGGATCATGACCTGAGCTGAAGGCAGATGCTTAACCACCTGAACCACCTAGGCGCCCCAGGAAAACACTTTTTATCACCAATGTCCCACTCAGCAGCCACTCACCACTGCTGAGCTCTGGTAACGAGACAAGTGTAGATGAAAATAGGATGATTTACATGTTATTTACTGGCAATTAATTTAAATTTAAATAGCCACATGTGGCAATTAGCTATTTATTGGACAGCACTTCTATAGGATCCAAAGCTGAAAGTGTATACATATTTCTAACATGAATAACAGACAAAAGCTAGTTTCCTTCATTTACTAAGTGCCTATCCAAAGCAACAAGAAAAAGAAAAATAACACTAAGTAAGTATTTGCTAAGGATAGAATTAGGCAATTTACTAGGACAAAAGTAGGTGCTTGATAAATACATAAATATGCTTTATGACATAAAGCATAATTAAACATGTGCAAATTGAGCCACAAGGTTCACCTTTTCACCATCAAACAGACAAAAATTTTAGAAAATTCACCGTATCTCACACTGGAAAGGACATAGGAAATAGGTACTCTTTCATATGGTGCCGGAGACTAGAAATTGATGCAACTTTTCTGAAAGAGTATTTGGTAACAAAAGCCCGTGAAATGCTCATATCCTTTGACCCAGCACCTTCAGTAAGACATGTGCCCTACAGATACACTTGCAAAAGGTCATGAGTGTATACATTTGGGATCTCCATGGCAATTATGTCAATCTCTAAATCATGAAAAAGAAAATCAGGTGAAACCAATATGGTCTACCTAATGTTCTAAAAGGGTAGTGGTATAAATATGGAGATGAATGTGCATAATCCTTCCCCCCATCCCAGCTCAAAGAATAAAAGCAACACTTGGCAGTGGTCATCCCTGCAAAAATCCCCTTGGATAAGGGAAGGAGGAAGGTTTCACCTTTAATTTTGTATATTTCTGTATGTTTTACATTTCCTAATCCTAGATTATATTTTTTTAACTGAAGTAAAATCTACATCAGATAAAATTAACAATTTTAAAATATACAGTTCGGTGGCATTTAGTACATTCATAATATGGTGCAACCATGACCTCTATCTGATTACAGAACATTTCCATCGTCCAAAGGAAAACATCATACCCATTCAGTAGTCTCTGTCCTCCCTTCCCCCAGACCCTGGCAACCACTAATCTGCCTATGTCTCTACACGTTGACCTAATCTTAGCAAATGGCTTTTTCCACTTAGCATAAATGTTTTTGAAATCATGATATCGATCAACACTTCTTTCCTTCTTATGGCTTGTAATACTCCCTTGTATGGCTGTACCATCTTTTATTCATCCACTCATCAGTTGATGGACATTTGAGTTGTTCCCACCTCTGGTTATTGTAAATAATGCTGCTGTAAGCATCTGTGTGCAAGTTTTTTCTGAATATATTGTTTTGAGTTATTTGGGGTATATACTGAGGAGTGGAATTGCTGGGTCATACGGTAACTCTATGTTCAACTTTTGAGATATATTACTTGTTAAATTTTGTTAACAAGAAAAGATACTAGTTTCAATCAAGTGAAAATATTACAGACTATTTATTGACTTCTTCTTTGGGCCTTTCTTTATTTAAAAAGAATTAAAAATACTTAATAAAAGAAAGCAATGGCTTCATGCCAATATCCCCCAAGCTAGCCTCTCCTGCTGTCATTTCTGTCCTTCTCTCTTCTCAGAGAATTGCTGAGGGAAGGGCACACAGATTCTTTTCCCTAATTTCCTTTTAATCTTTCTAAGGGATCACTGCCAACCTCCACCACAGCCAGGAGGATGCCCACCACTCTGTTGAGTATATTCCCCTTCGTCCAAAGTCAAAATTCCTTTTTGTATCTATAGGAGGAAATTCTGGAATCCAACTTAGGGTTTCACTATAGCTCTGTTTGTCTTATCAGTTAGAATTGGAAACTCCCAATACAATCCAGCACTTCCATCAAAATGATCATTGTTTTTTTACATCAAGAAGAAAGTCCCTCCCTGGACTATGAAGCGTGGCCTGAGGAAATTATCAAGCATTCACACCGGCGTCCTGCTGTTACACGTAGACTAAACTTTCTGGGCCAGAACCAACTAATGCCTAGTTTTCAGTTTATGGAATTTGTAAGGGATTTTATGTAAAAAGTAAGCAAAACCAAAATCTTCTAGAGACAGAACAACTCCTTTTATGCTAGGGGAAGATGTATATTAAATCTGGAGTTACACATTAAAAAACAACTGTAGGATTCTAGAGCCTTGCTTATTGTGGGGAATATGTGTCCTCCTTTGCTGTTGAAAAAGGTCTCATCTTTGAATCGACACAGAAATACTGATTAATACATTGTGCTCAATAGTCTATCATTTCCGCAATGAGTGAACACTGACTTTCTGTTTTCTAGGAGGGATTGCTCCACTGAACAGCTGTTATAGAGCGAGGAGGAGATCAGAATAACCTGCTATTTAGATCCTACTGCACAAGTCCTACCCGTTTGCATACTGGGTGCAATAATGCGCAGCCATCCATGGGCTATTTGAGTGACATTAACCTGTTCTGTATGCAAAATGCACACACTCCCTTTTATTTTAGTTTTGTCTCACTGTCTCCATTCTGAGAATCTGTAGATCACTTTTATGATCTAGTGAAATTTCTAAGAAGCTGCCCAGCACAGTACACTTTTTCAAGTGTGGATGAAAATCCATTCATGGATCGTAAAATCCATTTAATGGGTCATTGCTAAACATGTTTTTGAAAGGAATGAAATGCAATCCAAACAAATGGACTGGAACAAAAAAGACCAGATCTGATCAGAACAGAATAGAATTGAATAAAAAACAAAAGAAAATAATGAAAACATATCTTAGAGCACAGTAGACAGTAAGGCAATTTACTTCTGTCTCAGTGTGCGCGTGCATGCTTGCACAAGTGTGCTCTGAATTAGACATAAAATGCATTTGTTATTAATGGTCACAGTCAAAAATTCTTCAGAACCTCTGGCCTGATGAACTTCTCTTACTCCTGGGACATCTCTTGGGAAACTGTGTAGATCCTCTTAAGGTATTTACTCCATTTTGCAAAATTACAGTGGCTAGATTTACCTTAGAACCTAGTGTCTTTCTTCTAGCTGTAATCAAACCATCTAAGCTGGACTGTGAGAAAGGAGACAAGAGAAACCCTTTTTTTTTTTTTTCTTTTAAAGAGCAGAGAGCATTTCCTGGGAGGAGAAAAAGTTCAAATGGAATTGAGAAAGATCTTAAATATCTCCTAAGAGTTCTGGTTTTACTGAGAGGGTGAGGGATTCATGTTTTCTCTCTGACTAGCATAATAATCATGCCCTTTCAGTGGTTTTCCACTTGGGAGCTCATCCTGTGGTACGATTTACAAGGGGTCTTCATGTGTTCAGACTGTTCACGAGCTGTCAGTCATTCATGGGCTACTGCCTTTTTTTCCTTACCTGAAACCCCTCCTTCAAAGAGACGTATGATACTTTTTGTGCAGGACTTGTATTTTTTAGAGGTACTTGTATTTTTTATGGGCTCTAGAGGAGGCACCTTTTAGCTTAGAATGGGGGCCACTTTGAAACATCTCCAAGACCAGAAACATGTAAATAATTTTGAATTTATCACCTTACAATTCACATCTTGCGACTCTTGCCCTCAAGACATTGGATGGGTTCGTGAGTGTTGGAAAATACAACCCTATGAAGGAGAGCTACAGGAAATGGCACTTTTGAGAATTTCACTTAAAAAATAAATGAAAAAAAGTAGAAAGTTCTCTATAGCTTCACCTTGGGCCTGCAAACACAGGTCCCGGGATCCTGTTAACTAACTGCCTCTTAGTCCTGTGGCATCACAAGCTCTTTTTCCAAGGAGTTCATGAGGACTTCCAGGGACAGCCAGGCTGGCCCACCACACCACTGCCTTCCCACCACAGGACAAAGGGTGTCTCTTATGGAATTCCCCAGAATTTGGTGAAAGATAGTTCCACTTGTAGACAAGCTTGCATTCCTCTTCCAATTTAGACCAGACTTTATACAGTTGACCTGGAAATTCTTTGACTCTACTCTCACACCCATCTTAAAAGTTCTCTTAGAATGATGGACATGTTGAATGGATCTTAAGGACTTCATTAATAGACACATGAAGTCCAGAACTTGGTAATCCCGTTGAAAGACAAAAAACATCCTAAAGCTTGGGGCAAACACAAGGTCTTGATATTAGGGCATATGAATGGGACTTTCAAATATAATTACTCCACCTAAAAGCAAATAAAAGTGAGTGAGCAGAATCTATACACGGTAGCTCAGCAAACAAATGACCTGACAGGTTCTAGCCTGAATCCCGAATTTTGAAAATGTGGTCTGTTTCCTAGAAAAACTAAACTAGGGAGTATTATCTTGAGTAGGTAACTTCTGGCTGTAAAAGACGTTGCTTGTTTATGAAGAAAGGCAGAGCCCATCATTCTCATACTGATCAGATCCATAAACAGTGGCATCAACTTCTTTCAACCAGACCCCCAAAGCCGCCACCCAAACAGGGACCCACTGAGGCAGCATTCTCCCTGCTACTGCCTTAAGCTTTCTTCACTCACCTCAGGAAATTTCTTTTTCTGCACATATTCTGTGGTGGCAGCATCAAAATATTTGGCATAGCCCTCATTGAGACTGTAAATCTTCCCTTTCTGTTTTATCTTGACATCTTTTTCCACCAGGACAAATTCACCGAGAGCCTAGAAAGATGAACAGAAACACCAGGAAGGAGAGAGATACCAGGAAACAGAAGCCAACAGCGCTGCCCCCAACAATCAGAGAGCATCAGAAGGTGTGGGCCTCCTCGAGGACCCAGCTGGTCCCTGTCCTTCGGCAGCTCCAGTCGTGCTCCAGCAAGAGATGAAATAATTCAAAGGAAAGAGGGAATGTTTCCTTGGTAATTTTTCACTCCCTGTCAGGTCACTCTTTCATTGGGAACTTCGAAGTATTAATACCCACCAAGTTCTCATCCCTAGTTAATTCCTAATGTTTCCAGGAAGATTTGGGCCATTGACAATGAGAGGAAGAAGTTCCATGGAAGGGATTCGTCATAAAGTTGGGGGATGTAGTCCCCCTACTAATGTGTGGTCCATTGATTTTAATGACTCGGTCTTAGAAATCATGAAAAATTCCCAGTATCCCAGTGACTCTTATACAGGGTAATGAGGAAATCCCTTCAATCAGAAACTGTATTCACTTGGCATAAGGAATAAAAAGGATAAAATGAAAGAAATCCTCAGAATTATTTAATCAGATTATATCCATGGCCCCCACTGTGGTCACTCTGCAGGACACCCCTCAGGTACCATTTATCTGAGTGTTTATGGGCGTGATTAGCTGGCTGCAGGCATCACCTCGAAAGGCTAGATGTCTAAGTCACTAGGATAAAAACCAGGCTTAGAATGTAATCAGTTTTAATGAACTTTGAAGACTAAGAAAATGAAATCCCCCAGGACAACAGCTCACAGCAGGCGGCTAGACTAGAAGGTTCCAAATAAACAAAGCAATTTATAATCCCAGAATATAAAGAGGCAAGACCATGCTGACCATGTCTGAAGTAAGACAGTGATGAGAATACTCAGCAACCACAAATGTAGCTAAGCATCCCTCCCCTCTGCTGCATGTGAGGGACGACTTCTTCTTTACCAATGAATCTCTACCTTCACTTTAATCTTCCTACCTCCTAGATAAAAATTACTGATACACAATCATTTATGGTATCCACTCTCAAGCCAGAACAGACCCTCTCTTTCTTGAATCCTCCCAAGATTATCAAGCAAAAGCCCACCTGCTGTAGACTAAGTCCATCCCAGCTCCCTCCTGGCAGGACTCTCTACTGTCCTTCTAGAGCACAGCCATCCTTGTTCACTAAGCCCAACTTCTTTTTGTTATAAGAAAGTTCCTGATAGTCTCTGGCTCCTGAGCTTTAAGAGCTTGCTGTGGACATTTGTGGAGTAACACTTCTTAAAAGCAGCCTAACTCCCTTTGAAGAAGTAACTCTTCTCATTGGATGTCAATCTAGGAAGACTAAGCTGAGCCTCCTCCAGCCCAAGGTCAGGCATGTGACTTAGCTTGGCAAATGAGATACTCCTCTTTGGCACTTGAAACCTGAGTAAGAGACACAGAATCAGGGGTAGGGTCCAGGCCAGACTGGCCATGCTGCAAGCCCGTTCCTGGGACTCCTGCATCCCGGTGGTCAAGACCTGCCCATCCCGAGCCTATGTCCTGAGCTTTACCATTAATATGGTAACATCTTTTACTTAATTGGGAAGAACATGTACATTAGCAGCAGTCCCACAAATCCATGCTGTCCAAGAGGGTAGCCACGAGTCACATGTAGCAATTTAAGTTAATTAAAATGAAACAAATTTGGGGTTTTTTTTTAAAGGATTTTATCTATTTATTTGACAGAAACAGCAAGAGAGGGATCACAAGCAGGGGGAGTGGGAGAAGGAGCAAGTTTCCCACCAAGCAGGGAGCCCGATGCTCCAGGACCTGGGATCATGACCTGAACCGAAGACAGATGCTCAATGACTGAGCCACCCAGGTGCCCCAAGACAAAGTTTTGAAACCGAGTTTATAGTCACACTAACCACATTGCAAGTGTCCAGTAGCCACAAGAGGCTAGTGTCTGCCATATTGGACAGCACAGATAACAGAACATATGCCGGGTCGTAGAGAGTTCTATTGGAACGTGCTACTCTAAAAAATCCATGTTTCTGTCTAGACATTGGCAACATTAGGCTTTTTTAAATGATTGTATTTCCATAAGCTGAAGAGGTTGAATACATTTTTGGATTAGAAAACTCTTCTGGCGCCTGGGTGGCTCAGTGGGTTGGGCCTCTGCCTTCGGCTCGGGTCATGGTCTCAGGGTCCTGGGATCAAGTCCCGCGTCGGGCTCTCTGCTCGGCGGGGAGCTTGCTTCCTCCTCTCTCTCTCTCTCTGCCTGCCTCTCTGCCTACTTGTGAGCTCTCTCTGTCAAATAAATAAATAAAAATCCAAATATATATACATATATATGTGTGTGTGTGTATATATATATATATATATAATATGTGTATATATATATATATATATATATATATTTTTTTTTTTAAGAAAACTCCTTAAGAGCAGAGCCTGGGCTGATACGACAGACCCCACAGAACCCTTCAAATGCCCTCTTGGGGGGGACATAGGTCATTAATGTTTATTGATGTTGGTGTTGATTCCCCAACCAGATTCCCTTGTCCCAAAAGCAGGTATTAAGTATGAAATTACCCCAGCCAACTGGAATTAAAGCACAGAGACACAGGGAGTCCTCAGTACTGACATGAACACACTGGTACCTACTGGATCAAGCATGAAGAGGTCCACTCCTTGCCCAGTGGAAAGAGCCACCAAGGTTGCACTACCATAGAGGGCATAGCCCGCAGCCACGATATTTCGGCCTGGCTGCAGAGCATCCTTTTCAGAAGGCTCATCCTCTGAAGTCTGTGGAAGAGAAAAGAGAAACATAGGGTGTTATCGTCTCTGGGCAGAACACTCTACCAGAGGCCTGGGCTTCAGATCTCCTTGAACCACTGAAGGAAATGCACTCCTTAGAATTTTGAGCTGAGGCCAATGCATCTGGAGGGAATGCATTGCCATGGTAACAAACGGTTCGAGCCGAACCATTGCAGAGACCATTCTTGGACTCCTTGCTGGTTTCTGAACACATCCATCTGCATCCTGCCAAAAAGCACCCCAAAATGCTAAAACCACAGCTCCTCTTAAAAACTATAAGCCAGGCTCCTTAACTGTTACAGCAACCAAGGTCGTGAAGCTCTGATCTTGTGCCCTATCCCATTGTATGTGCTCAACAGCCCTTGGAGGGAAACATCTTTATCATCTGAATTGTGTAGATGCAACACTCAGGCCTGAATGTTGGAACAACTCACCTGATTACTTTGGAAAAATGAGTAGCACACTGCTGGGCTCTGCTGTGAGAGCTGAGTTGGGGAGCGGGAAGGAGAGGAAGCATGCCCTGCTCTTTCCTCACCTTCATCCGGGGTTCTGGCTTCACAGCAAAGCCTTCAGGGATGGGGGAGAATTCTGGACTAGCCCTGGGGCTGGCCCTGGCCCCTAACATCCCTGTGGCGGCAGATGTGACAGGAGCTTGGAAGGAGAGGCGAATGGGCAGACTTCGATCAACTCTTCAAATCAGAAGACCCAGATGGATTCAGCTCCACAGACCATGGCAAATAGCTGTGACAAATGTGACAAGCTGAGGCTCCAAACTCACTTTCCCAGAGCATGGTGCTCGGTGTGCAAGGCTTAAATATGAACGGTTGGCCTTGCTGCTTCTGAGCCGTTCTATTCCCCGCTCTCTGTTTTCCAGCACAGCTTCCTCTGCTGTTTAATTAGATGCTCTGTTCTCTCTAGATGCCAGTGGATTTAGGCTAAAAGGCCAGTCCAGAAATACTGCCTGGAGATTCCCTGCTGAGCAGAAAATTCCAGAGAATTGCAAAGTGGTGGAGGTGAAGGAAATACCATTGAAGTTATGAAGACCCACTGGTGATTATGTAAATAGGAACCAGAACAACAATTTGAGCCAGAATATTAGACACACATCAAAAATATGTTAATTATGCTAATTAACTCCCCTGAAGAACAACTTCTTCAGGGTAAAATACTAATTTATATTTATATGGGGCTTTATCTTTTTCAGAGTACGTTCCCATCCTCATGCTTTTGTGAAACAATGGAGACTCTCCCTAGTCCTCATTTAAAAGTGAAGGGATGGAGGTCAGGAGGGGTACCCACACATTTTGAAACAATTGAGTGATAAAGCTGGGATGGACCCACATCTCCCAATGCTAAGCCAACATCCTTCTCCACACTGTGATGGAATATGGGTGGCTCAATCTGTTAAGTGTCCTACTCTTGGTTTCTTTTCTTTTTTTTTTTTGAATATTATGTTAGTCACCATCTAGTACATCATTAGTTTTTGATATAGTGTTCCATGATTCATTATTTACATTTAATACTCAATGCTCATTACACTACATGCCCTCCTTAATACCCATCACCGGGCTACCACATCCCCCATCCCCCATCCCTCTCCCCTCTGAAACCCTCAGATTGTTTCCCAGAGTCCATAGTCTCTCACGGTTTATATCTCCCTCTGATTTTTCCCCGTCTGTTTTCCCTCCCTTCCCCTAATATCTTCCATGCCATTCCTTATGTGTCACATATGAGTGAAACCATATGATAATTGTCTTTCTCTGCTTGACTTATTTCACTTAGCATAATCCCCTCCAGTCCCATCCATGTCGATGCAAATGGTGGGTGTTCATTCCTTCTGATGGTTCAGTAATATTCCATTGTATATATGAGCCAACTTCTGATTTTCTGCTCAGGTCATGATCTCAGAGTCATGAGATCGAGCTCCACGTCATGCTCTGCACTGAGCACAGAGCCTGCTTAAGATTCTCCCTCCCTCTCCCTCTCTCTCATGTGCAGTCTCTATCTGTCAAAAAAGAAATAAAAGCTAATTTCCTTTTTTTTTAAAGATTTTATTTATTTATTTGACAGACAGAGATCGCAAGCAGGCAGAGAGGTAGGCAGAGAGAGAGGGAGAAGCAGGCTCCCCGCTGAGCAGAGCCCAATGCGGGGCTCGATCCCAGGACCCTGGGATCATGACCTGAGCCAAAGGCAGAGGCTTAACCCACTGAGCCACCCAGGTGCCCCAAAGCTAATTTCCTTTTAATAGTCTTTATCTTCCCATCTTACATTCTTTCAAATAACTTTTTTTCTTGCAACTAATTACATTTCCACCTGACTTTCTCATGTGTTCAATAAATTGGCCTTGTTTCTAATTCCTGGCCATGTACGCATTCTGAGAACCAGGCCCTGGAGCAGACTCTCAGAGAAGACAAGCAGCAACAGCATCCCCTGCGATCTTGTTGGAAGTATAAATACTAGTCTCCCCACCGCTCCCCCAACCAGGCTATGGAGTTGGAAACTCTGGGCCTCCAGAAAGCTTGCAGGTGATTCTGGGGCATGCCGGTTTGGGAACCACAGCTCTAAAGCATGAGCTCTCAAGAGTCTTTAGAAAAGTGGAAGCTTTTTTTTTTTTACTAAAATCTTTAGTCTTCATCATCGAAGCTTCCGAAATACCTTCACTCGGCCACCAGAATGACCACATTTTCTGTGCAGGAAACCAGAGTTCTGTCCTGCTGATTTCTCCCTGACCAGAGGCTATCCTTCCTCTGAGCTGGGGTCTTACAGTCCCCATACAGCCTAGCACCCTCTCTGTGGCCCTCTGGGCTCTGTGCTGGGGCTTGAAGGGAACCACTCCTTTCCCACTGGCTTCACCAGCTTCTAATAACAGGTGGAACCCTCTGGCCCACAGAAATAAGAAAAATACTTTCTAGATCTCAAGACTTCCCTCTAGCCATTGCCCTATCTCTGTCTTCATCTAGGTCTGTGAGTCTAGAATGCTTGTCTACACTAGCTATCTGTCTTCTGCCCCCACTGCAGCCTCCCAGATATGATCCATCTACCACCTCAGGAGCACAAGGTCCAGTCCTCTTTACCCTACCTCCGGGCAATGTCGGGTCTCTTGGCTGCTGTCTCCATCTTGATATGGGTCTCTCCTGAGCATCTGTCCACCTCCCTCTTTTCCGACTTCCAATTTTGTGATTTATAAGAAATATCTATTTGCACATTCAGATGACCGAAATGCATTTCTCCTATATATTTCATTTTCACCCACAGTTCCTGGCTCACAGTTTCCAAAACCCTCAGACTTCCCTAAGTGTTGAGAATGATAAAATGTCTTTGTCATGCTGATGAATGACTTTCGGACGCCACTGGAAGGAAGCTGGCTTGTTGCCAGGAGAACCAAGCTCTGTAATTATTAGAAAATTGGAACTTTTGACCTCACCCCCTGCAAAGGTGGTAAGGGATGGAGATTGAATCTACCGCCAGTAGCCAATGATTTAATCAGTCAAGCCTATGTAATGAAGCCTCCATAAACCTGAAAAGGACAGAGTTGGAAGAATTTCTGGACTGGTAAACACCCAGAGATTCAGGGAAAGTGGTGTGCCTAGAGAGGGCAGGGACATTCTGCACCCTTTCCCCATACCCTCCCCTAGGCATTTCTTCCATCTGGCTCTTCCTGAGTTATATCCTTTAATAATAAACTGGTGATCTAGCAACATGTTTCTCTGAGTTCTGTGAGCTGCTCTAGCAAATTAATCAGAACTGAGGAGAGCGTCTTGGGAACCTCTGATTTCTAGCCAGTTGGTCAGAAGCACACATAACAACAGGGCTTGCAACTGGCATCTGGATTTAGTGGCCGGGGGTGGATGAGGCAGAGGGCGGTCATTAGGACTTCCAATCTATAGCAGGTTGGTCAGAAATACAGATAATAGCCTGGGGTTGCCTTGTAAGAATGAGCCCTTCACCCCTGGAATCTGATGCTATCTCTGGGTAGATAGTGTCAGGAAAGAGTTGAGTTCCTGGATACCTGCCAGCATCCAAGAATTGCTTGGTGCAGTGTGGGGACCCTACCTCACCCCCATGTTGGAACTGCATCCAGGAACCTTTCATGGCCTCTCAAACTCTCTAGCTGGGCCTTCCTATTTGCTTTTGCCACCTCCTATTCCTCTGACCCCTTAAATGTAGGGGCTCCTCCTGATTCCTCCCCACCCTTGGGGTATCTAACCAGTGCAAGATGGACTTCCTTATCCAAAGTGGTACTCTGAGTTGCTATGAGACAAATTTGATGAGGGTTGGAATAAATGCCTCACCCAACCTGGGCCAATCAGAGTCTGCTCCAGAAATCCAGACCTGGGGCTAGAACACTCTGGTTCATGTCAACTTGGGAGCTGTGGGATGGCACTTTTCTTCTGCCATTAGCCAGAGAACCAGAGAAAACCTGATTCACAGAGAGAGGAAGGAGTAAAGTGGCCATGTGGCAGGAAGGCAAGATTAGAGACTTTTTTCTGGTCCCAGCCTTCTCTGAAGCTGCCATATTCCTGCCTTAGAGTTTCCTAATCCATTCCTGCCATTTACACTAGAACCCTAATCAATAAAGCTCTCTTCTCAGTCTACACACTCCTTGGCAACCGTACCCACAACCAGAGTTCAAAGCCCTACGCACCTACTGATGATTCCTGAGAGCCCAGCCTCGGAGTCACTGCCCACCATACAACCCTAGTCAGGTATCCCGTAGGTACGTCAAACTCAAGATGGAATTTTCCAGGATGCCTGGGTGGCTCAGGGTCCTGGGATGGAGTTTTGCATCGAGCTCCTTGCTCAGCAGGGGGCCTGCTTCTCTTGCTGCCTCTGCCCTGCCTCTCTGCCTACTTGTGTGCACTCTCTCTCTCTCTCTCTGGCAAATAAATAAAAAATCTTTAAAAAAAAAAAAAAAAGATGGAATTTGCTTGTCCCATCTCACCCCCCAAATCCCTGCTCTGCTCTCATTACTTCTTGTCTCAGCAAGT